TGTCCACCGTGACAGAGAACCTTTTAAGTTGAAACATTTTTGTCTAAAACAGATGGTTTTTGTGGGGGCTGAAGCACAAGTTAAATTCTGGCTTCAGTTCTGTTTTACACTGACTCACAGGACTGTGGTGGTGTAGTTTAGCTTGTTGCCTGTAGTGTAATGTACTTTTAATTGACTTTTGTATGGATGGTACATGTTTGAGAATATAACAAATATGCAGAACTTCAGCACAATGTACATGGTGTTTTCAACTTATTTTATTCTTTGCCTAGACTATTGCATACAGCATTCTATGGGACCTGAAGTTCTTGATGAGGTATGACCACTTCAGTTTTTATCAAAGCACAACAAAAGCTTTTGTCTGTTGCTTCCATTCTCTGACAGAGAATTATCTTTGGACAGAGTGCTGGAAAGATTTTACAGATGGCCTGCTTGTATTAATATCCCAGCACTTAATATATATACAGCACTCATATAAGCTATAGGCAGCAGGTTCAACACTGCAGAAGGAAGAGACTAATCCTGACCCACAAAGATCTAATTGCTGCTGTGCCATCCTTGCCGAGAGCTCGGGATCTGGATTGGATCAGCAAGCTGCTATTTCCTAAACGGTTAAAAGAGCAACTGTGCTTACGTGTGAGACCAAAGGTGTTATTTGAGAAAACTGAAAGGTTTAGGTACTAGGATGGTTTCTGGGATTTCGAGTCTATATCATCTTCCATAAGTTGAGGACAAGTTTATTGATAATGATGAACTTTCCTGTAAAGTGTGGAGTGGTGGCTGTTACCTTCTCACCCCTCTCCCCTGAGGGTAGGACAGGGGTAGCAGCACAAGATCTGTGCTCTTGGGCTTACTACAACCCTGTAAATGTGTAACTTCTCCTAGCAGTACTGCTTTTCTGTGTTCTCAAAGCAAACTCTGGACTTTTTGGCACATATAGTTAAACCAGAGGCACAGAATAACAAATGCTAAGCAGCTGTGCCTGAACTGCATGTGCCAGACTTCTCTAGCAGGCTATGTGTGTCTATGCAGGCTTGTGTAAACCTACACTGTGTACAAAGCTGCTGTTTCAGCTGCAAATTCTCATGCAGGCACACAGTGCAGGTTACAGAGTAATCACTTCTCACTAGTGTTCAGATTCTTAAGAGTTAAAATTGTCAGATAAGACTTAATAGTTTGTATTTCTCTATAGATCCAGTTGTGTTGGTTTTGTTTTGTTTAAAAAAGAAAGCTTTTTATTTTCCACTTGTATCTTTTTGTAGGAACCTTGCCCTGGGGGGAGGCTTGCTGCTGCTTTTGGCTGAGTCACGCTCAGAGGGGAAGAGCATGTTTGCTGGTGTCCCCACTATGCGGGAGAGCTCTCCTAAGCAGTACATGCAGCTTGGGGGCCGTGTGCTGCTGGTCCTCATGTTCATGACACTGCTGCATTTTGATATGAACTTCTTTTATGTAAGTATTGTGAGTGAAAAGTATGGGTTGAGGAACTGGAATACAGTGCTACCTCCCAGGTTGGCTGTCGGTTTTACTCATTGGTTCTCTAATTAAAGTCTTTTTTAATGAATATTTAGAAAAAAAATGTTACTAGATTATCTGTACTAAGACAGCTTGCTCTGATGAACAGCTTATCCATGCTCTGATGTCTGTGTATCCATTTAAGAGACACAAAATCTTACTTGGTGTGTTGGTGGGAGCGTTGCTTTTTGGGTTTTGACTTCTTTTTTTCTTTTTTAACCTCCCCTCCTTGCAGATTCTGCAAAACATTGTGGGCACAGCCCTGATCATCTTGGTGGCAATTGGCTTCAAGACGAAGCTGGCTGCCTTGACTCTAGTCATCTGGCTTTTTGGCATCAACATCTACTTCAATGCCTTCTGGACCATCCCAGCCTACAAGCCCATGCACGACTTCCTCAAATATGATTTCTTCCAGACCATGTCTGTAATTGGAGGGCTCCTCCTTGTGGTTGCACTGGGTCCTGGTGGAGTCTCCATGGATGAGAAGAAGAAAGAGTGGTAACAGGAATAGCAACACTTTTTGGGACATAACATGTTAAGATCAGAACTGATTCTGTATGGATTCAACAAAAACTGCCAGCATTTTACACATACATGCCCCCTTCTTATTAAAGGCACAGATGTTTTGAATTTGATTTACGATGGCACCAGTAATAATCATAGATAAAATCCCATTTCTTCAAGGAATGTTGCCTAGGCTTATTGTTCTAACTTTCTAGATTTGGAACTAACCCAGCAAACCTGCATTTTGCTGGTACTTCAGTGAGTTGCAGTAGAATGGTTGCTCTCTTTAAAGTCAGCATTGTTTTAAAATTTGGAGTACTGTGAGAAGTACAGCTGTACCACTCAGTGTGATGTTGGATTTTAGCTATAACTTAGAAGTGGATCCCCTTTTTCACCCTCATCAGATCTATCTTGTGTATAAGGAGTTCCACTGGTTATAGCATTGCTAATCAAGGTGGAAAGCAGTGTCAAAAGAACTCATGGCTATTTTGCTATTCAGAGGGCCTGTAAATCCATTATTACTTTCCTTTTAGCAAGAAGGAGGTCTTTCCTGCACCCAAATGGAAGGCAAAAAGAAAATCCTGAAAGTAACTGAACCTCCTTTAGGTAAGAAAAGGGAGAGTTTTCCAACAAGTTACGGCTCTGTTCTTGAGGGGTCATATTCCTTCTTGCTTATGAGATTTTTAAGAGGGAAGGGGCAAGGTACTCCTGAAGAGACAGAACATTAGATGCTGGTAGAATTCTGTGCCAAAAGAACTTTTTACTCAACGCTCTTTTCCCAGAGTTGCCCCCTCCTGGGTTCCCAAGGAAGCGAGCCTAGTTATGCTGCACGTTCCATAATAAAAGCTCCTTTCTGCTATTAACCAGTTTCCACCCATCGTCCATCCATGTATGCTCCGAATTCACACCTGAATTGCAGGTTACTGGTGAAAGTATTTATCCAGAACCATGGAAACTCCCTTTTTCCCCCGCACAAAATACATGCAAGATGAGAGCAGTCAATCTTCTAATTACTATAGTCTTCTTGCTTTTTTGATTCACTTCTGTCAGTCTCAGCTGCAAAAGCCTCAGCTGACTGAACTGTGGAAGGGTTGGAGTGCTGAGCTCCAAGTCTCACTCTTCCCCCTGATATCTTGGGCCACACCTGAGATGCATAGGGAAGGAGTGTGGAAGTCAGCTGTGTGCTGCCATAGTCCCAGTTCTCAACTGTGCATTACAGGCAGTTATAGTTGAAGAATGCAAGTGCAAAGCCTGCACAGTGAGTAAGCAGTCAGGAGCGTAACTTCCATGTTCAGAAGGAAGGCCTCAGCTTAAAAGTGAGGAGAGAGCAAGGCTCTGTTTTTACCTCAGTGCCACAGCCTCTGTGCCATGAACATGCTTAGTGAATGCTGCTTAGAGGAGGCATTTTTGTCCTCTGCTGGTAGATAAACCTGTTTCATGAGATCATGAAAGCGCTCTAGATTTTTAGAGAGCATGAGCCCTACCAACTTGCTAACATTACCCTGATTTCTTGTCTCCCTTGAGAAAGCTGCTCTGCTATTTGTTCAAGGAGCAATTCAGTTGAACCATCTCCAGCAGGAACTAATTACCCGGGTTACCTAGTAAGGATACTGGTTTGGACAGTTCTCCTGAAGGGTTATTTATTAGGTGAGAAAACTAGGCTAAATAGAACAGATGGCAAATAGAAGGGTGCTGCTAAGTGTTAAAGCAGTGATTCTGTCATCCTAAGGGAAAAGCATCCCATGTAACCACAGGATGTGCTGCTGCTGAAGGGGGGAGGAAGATGAGTATTTGGGGGTAGATGAGAGGAAGCCAGCATTGAAGTTCAGGTCACTTAGAAGGCTTCCTTTTAAATAGGCTTTGCAGGAGAGGTTTTTACCTCAAGTGTTAACTGTGCCTGTCTCTTTATAGCAAACTAAACTAGTCCTTTCAATTCCTGATGTGCAGCACAGGATGTTCTTTGCTCAGTTTCACTGCAGGTCCTATAACTGTTAGACTACATCAAGGCAGCCATTCTCCGATCTCTCAACTGCTGTTGGTGTTTGTAGTATTTATAAATTGAATTTCTGTAGGTAGCCCTTAGTCAGCTTCCTCAGCTCGTTCTTTGTGTCCTGTCTAACTAAGGAGCTGGATGATGGACTAGTCTGAAATACTGACCAGTTTCCTCTGTGAAAATAAAGAGTCTGACTTCCAATAAAAGACCCCAAAAAGGGAACTGTTACTGCCTCTTGCAGCAGAAGTATTCTGGTACTGAAGAGGCACTGTAAGGTGGAGGGCATTACAAGGTATTTCTAGGCAGCGCAATATGTGGACTTACAGCTGTGAGTCCTGGTACAGAAGATTCTGGTATCTTACATACACTGCTGTATTCACACATCTCCCAAAAATACAGTGACCTCCCCCAGTGGCTGAGAAACAGGATGTCAGTTATCAATTGGCTCTGCAAAGTGTTCTGGAATTCATTCTGAATATATTTTTGCTTTCTATGTGGAAAAAAAAAAAAAAAAGTATAAATTCTCATTTTATGCTGTATTTTGTACCTTAGTTGTGTTTGAAAATGTTTTGATTTTTGAAACAATCAAAATAAAAACAAATGGCATCTTTGTATCCACTTGAAGTGTATGACTAGTGACACTTAAACACGCATGCTTTTTCTCTTTGGAAAGAGTTCCAAGCAGTGGCTTTGCCTTTATGTTGCTGTAGTAATTCTTGTTCTGTGAGTAGTGGATGGAGAGAGCTTTAACATGCAGTTCAGTTCCCCCTTGCTGTTTCTCCCGGCTGTAACAGTTAACTGGAACAGGCAGCAGGGCTTACAGGTGAACACTTTGGTCTTGTGCACCACCTGGAATTGTTACACAAGACACTTCAAGCTGCATTTTTATCATAAAAATTTATTTACCATTGGTTGTGTTCTTGAGCTTTTTGGGTTTTTGATGACAGCTCTTGAATTTTTTCTTTGAAGGGCCAGACTGTTTCTGTAGAAAGAAAACATCAATCAGCTTTTTCCAGAAACTAAACCCAGCCTTGCCCCAGACTGCTTAAAGAGAAATCAAGCATGCTGTCCTTTACCAAGAGACAGAACAAGCACAGCCCAGGGCACATGGTGGTTTTTTGCCCCATCCTGCATGTCAGCATCTCTGAGGTTTCATCAGATGCAAACAGTGGCCCTCTCCCCACAGAAATGAACCTAAACTTCATCCACCCTTAACCTTTCAACTGCTACAATCAGAAAGGATTCCTAAGAGAGTTTCTTCACCTTCATGTATACAACATGTCTGCTTCCCAAACTGAGAAGGATCTGTAAGCACACCCAAAGGCAGGACCTGGTCAGCTCCTCAGGTAGGAGCAGAAAAAGGTGTAGGACGAGTTCATGACTTTGGAACTGTTTAGCTGTGTGTGTGTGTGTATGGAGAGGAGGACTACAGAACCCACAGTCTTACTGTCAAGATGGTGCAGCAGGATTCAATCAAAGATGAGATATTTATACAGGAAGTAAGATCCCCAGTTGGAGAAGATAGGATAAATATTTACTGCTACTAATTCACACCTCAGGATGCAAGTCAATGGCTGGCACATGGAGAAAGTATTCTCCCAAATAGATTTACACCTTCTGCTGATTCTCAGACAGGAACAGATCCGAAACCACCTACAGGATAGCATGATGGCTGTTCACGCTCCCCATCTGCTACACACAGCAAAGTGACTCCCACCTTTCCCCTCTTGCCAGCTGCTCTGCTGACATCCATTCTGTCACCATCTCCATTCATGTCACCATTCTCCCTACTCAGCTCGGCCCCATCGTCCCCGCTGTCTGTTGCAAAACCATCGTTGGCCTCTGTGTTTTGTGGAGCTGCTGGGCTTTTTTCTGGGAAGAGTCCAGCTAAAATACAAAGGTTTAGTTCAGGATCAGTTCTTTGTGCACACAGGCTCTGATAACCCGTAACCTTATTTTCTGCTCATCTAAGCTGACTCTGGCCTCCAAGGATTAGCCCATCATATACATCACTACTGAAATACTCAATAACAAACGCACTGAAGTTTTATTAGAAAAACGCCTGGTGCTCTCATTAGCCCAGATCTGGGAACCAGGCAACACAGGCAGTTCTGGGGTCTTAAAGCTCTGCTCTCCTACAGCAAGGCAGTGTTTTCCAGATGTGAGTGGAACAGCCTTACCAGCTCCTGTCAGGCTGCGGGACTTGCTGAGAGATAAGGAGAGCAGTGATACCTAAAGCAAAAAACAGCAGATCCTGTATCCCTCCTCACACCTTACAGGATCCAGCTCTGTGTGATAACTGCTATTTCACATTTGGCAGTGGGAAGTTTTTACCAAATCCAAGAACCTCAAACTGGATGGAGGTCACGCCTCCAGCATGCGAGCAGACAGCAGCAGTACCAAGGCACTGTGAGGCAATGAGCTGACAAACCTGCTGCAGGACACACACGATGGCAATGTTCTTACTCACGTGGGTACAGATCGCTCATGCTGTCGTCTGTCTCCTCTCCATCCTCATCCTCGTCTGTCCTGGGAGAGCTGGGCTCCCAGAATTCTTCTGTTCTGTGAGGCTGCCTGCTCCCATTCGTTTCGTCGTCAGCGCGCTGTCTCTGCTGCTGCTTCTGCCGCAAGCAGGCAGGGACATACTTCACCCCTTCCTTCTGGCACTTCTCATCTAATGGTGCAAGGGATTGAGCAGCACTTAGCAAAGCTGCCCAAGCCCTGAGTCCTATTTACTGCCAGGTCTACTTTATATTAAATGTGACTCAGAAGCACATCAAGCTCCAGTACACGTTCACATAATCAACATGAAAGATGTTAATGCAGATACTCTTAAAGCTGGACGTGTTAACCCCTACTCTGGAGAATCTTTTGTACCACTCCTTCCAAATAAGAATGCTCCAAAGTATCTGCTAAAGAAGTCAGCTGATCCCTGCTCTCGGGACCTTCCTTCCCAGTTGAGATGCACACACAACAATTGCAGCAAATTGTTGTCAACTAGAGAAAACTTACCCAATCCCTTCATATACAGCTACTGGAACTTCAACAGCTCAGGGGAGAAAGCAGCTTTTCTGAAGGTACAGCCAGCCAACTTACATGTTTTCAGTGCCTTCTGATAGCGTTTCCCTTGGACGTGACGCAGGACGTGCTCTGGAAGCTTGTTGATGTGTCTGAGAGTGAGTTTGCAGAACAGCTGATGTCTGAGACACACACACAAAAAGAAAGAGCCACAGACTTTAAGCAAGTTACCTAATAACCTTTCACTTACACATACTGTGCTCAAATGTAAGAAACAAGCAAAAGATCTTCGCTCAGCCACTGAGACTGAATGCACTGGAATACCCACAGGTTCTTTGTGCTGGGCACAATATGGGGCTCGAAGGTGCCATAATCAAACTCTCGGGATGTCTTTATCAGCCGTCGGTATTTCCTGCCGTCGGTGTAAGCCTGCAGCTCCGACAGTCGGCACGGCAGCTCGTGGCCCGTCAGCCGGCACCGCACCTGAGAACGAGGAGTCTCGGTCAGAGAGCTCAGAGATGACCCGAGGGATTGCAGGGCAGGGCAGACCCCAGCTCCTCTCAGGGCCTTCCTCCCCAGACCTCCCCGATTTACACAGCGGGAGAAACCCCTTCGGCCTGGGGGCTGAGCTCAAGCGGCCTCGTTCCCCTCGTGGGAAGTGCTCCATCCTCTCCTCAGGTAACGCGGTCCCAGCACCCCCCCTCCCCAGCTCCATCCGCAGACTGCTCCTGCCCACCTTGCCCGACTCCGCGAGGCTGAGCAGCGGGTGCTGCCGCAGGAAGAGCAGCACCTCCTCGGGCACCTCCTGAGCCACCTCCGCCATGAGCACGCCGCAAAGCCCCACCTCACCATAGAGAGGCGCTGCCAGACAGGAGCCTCCTCACTTCCGGTACGGGCCTCGCCGGGAAGCGGTGGTACCATAGAGAGGGGGAGCTAGAGGGGCGGCAGCCGCGGTCAGCCTGGGTGGAGCGGAGACGACGGCGGCGTTGCCCCATGGCGGCGTGGGGGCTGCTGCTGCGTGCGGGGCCGCGGCTGCTGCGAGAGCGAAGGGCTGGGGTGAGCGCTGACAGCAGCGGGAAGGGCCTGGGTGGGCCCCGAGGGGGCGGGGAGGGCCTCGCCGGGCACCGAGCAAGAGAGAAAGAGAAGGAAAGGCGCTCGCCCGGCGTTTATTTGAAAGCAAACGGCAGCGCTGTGTACGTGCTGTAATACAAACACATGCGTGCTGGTAGCAGGTATAGAAGGGTCATTTGTGGTAGTGGGACAGCCGATAGCATCTAGATGGAACGCGTGCAATGCAGAGAGGCTGCAAAGGATGTTGTTTGGTTTCCTTAGATACCGCATTGCTTGCTCAGAAGAACGTTGTTTGGCTTTCCCCGAACGAAAGCAGGTTCTGCTGTGACCCAGCAGAGAGGTGAGCAGATCTGTGTGGGGTTCTGTCACTTTCAGCCTCACACTGAGGTGCCATTTCCAAAGGAATTTATCAGCTCTTCTCCTGTTGCTGTCATGTTCCTCATTCTGGTTCTCTGCAGATGTTTGCTTGAGGCTCTGCAGCCCACGAAGCTCCACGACAGCCACCAGTGCATCGGGAGAGGACGTCTGGCTGAAGTGGGGCCTCCTCCTCGTGCCCCTGACTGCGTTCTGTCTGGGCACATGGCAGGTACCAGCCAGCACATGCTGTATTTCTTCAGAGATGAGCGCTTTGGGGCTGTCAGGGTTTCAGTCTCGGGCTGATTGCTATAGATCATGCCATAGGCAGGGCAAAGATTTGCTGATATTTTACCTTTCTGCTTTCCCACTGCACACTGGTGAGGTTCGTGCAAGTCTTTGATGGAGAGATTCATATTTTTTTTAACACTTTTGTTACAAATATTTTCCCCAGACAAAGTCAGCAGTCTCCATTTTCATATCTCAATTTGTTTTGTTTATGGTCAGGACAAACTTATAACCAGGAAATAGATTTTAAGGCTTGCAATGATCGTTACATTGCTCTGGTCTACCAATAGGAATTACTTTTGTGTTTGTGTACTTCCAGATTCAGCGTCGAAAATGGAAATTAGATTTGATTGCACGGCTGGCATCCAGACTTTCCTCAGAGCCCATCCCTCTGACATTAGAGTAAGGAAGCTAAGACTTCCACAGTAAAACCCCGCCGTGTAATTTGCCTATCACAGCTGTGATTTTCATTTCATCTTGTTCTCTGCAGCCCTATGGAGTTGAAGGAATTGGAATACAGGCCTGTAAAGGTCCGAGGGCATTTTGACCACTCCAAGGAGCTCTACATTTTGCCACGGTCACTTGTGGACCCGGAGCGAGAAGCCAGAGAAGCTGGGAAGCTGACATCCCATGCAGAAAATGGAGCAAATGTCATTACTCCTTTCTACTGCACAGAACTAGGGTGAGTTAAGTGGTAGCTCACACGAGCAACTCATTTCTTTTCAAATATCTCAATCACAGAATCACCTAGGTTGGAAAAAGCTTTGGGATCACGATATCCAACCATCAACCTGGGTCCTGTCCTTAATCCTTAGTGCCACATCCACACCTCTCTTAAACACCTCCACCACTCCTCTGGACAGCCCCTTCCAATGCCTGATCACTCTTTCCATGAAGAAATTTGCCTTAATATCTAATCTAAAGCTGCAGCTTGAAACCATTTCCTCCTGTCCCATTATTTGTCACCTGAGAAAAGAGACTGTCCCCCTCCTCACTGCATCCTCCTTTCAGGAGCTGCAGAGAGCAATGATAGTGATTGGGTTTGTATGTCTACCTCTCCCTTAAAATCCATCTGTCTCTTAGGTGCTTGAGTCTTGATTCCAAATCATATTTATGTTTTCTTATGGCTGTAGACAGGAGCAAGAATTTCCTTTAATTCATGACGTATATTTGTCCTGTTTATGTAACTCCAGAGTCACAATTTTAGTCAACCGAGGATTTGTGCCCAAAAAGAAACTGAAACCAGAGACCAGGCTGAAGGGACAGGTAAGAGGGATACAGGGGAATCTTGCGCGTTACTTTCTGACCTGTGCTTGCCCAGAGATGCTTTTGACAAACCAAGAAAGGCAACAGCCATGTTCAGCTTCATGAGTCACTGCACTTCTTAAAGGTGCCTTTTCTTGATGCCTTGGATGAAGTAAACAAGGCATCTGCCTTTTTCCCTGCCGTGTCACAGCACCGTAGCACAACCTGCTAACTTCCTTATAACCAGACCCTGCAGGTGATGTACTACCAGGTCCAGGTATGCTAGAAATGAATCTTTGAGAGATTCCTTTTTTTCCTCCTCTGCATTTCAGATTGAAGAAGAAATCGACCTCACAGGGGTGGTGAGGTTATCAGAAAAACGGCAACCTTTTGTACCTGAAAATAACATTGAAAAGAACCGCTGGCACTATCGGGACCTGGAGGCTATGGCCAAGGTGACCGGTGCTGAGCCCATCTTCATTGATGCAGATTTCAGTAAGTCACAAAGGAACCCAAATCCACAACCAATTTATGTCAGTCTGCCCCTTTTCTCTGTGATGTATTTCCAGAGGTACTGCACTATTTACTGTACAAGGTTTTGAAGCTACAGCCGCTGGCTTTGCTGGTAACTTGGGAACACCGCTGCCCAGAGAAGTGGGCTGTCTTTGGGACTCACACTCAGTGAGCTGCTCACTTGGCAGAGCAGGGGCAGCTCAGGGCTTTGCAGACCAAACATTTGACAGTGTGCTGTACCTACAGGAAGCACAGTGCCAGGAGGGCCCATTGGAGGTCAGACAAGAGTGAGCCTGAGAAACGAGCACATGCAGTACATCATTACCTGGTAAGTTACCCAGCCAGTGTCTGACTTCTGTTTTCTGAACACGAAGCCTTAAGCTGCTTTCTGTTGAATCCACTGAAAGCAAGGAAATAATTTTTTCCTGGCATTCTTGCTCCTGTATCAAGGAGACTGATGAGATCTTCAGCTGCAAACTGTTTGAAGCTGAGTGGTATTTCCCAGATAGTCTGAAATAACTTTAGTATTGAACTGCGGTTGATTTAGGGAACTTTTAATCGATTTTGGAAATACCAGGTAGAGGTTTTGCATTGTTTTTTTTACTTCTTGTCACAGGTATGGCTTGTGTGCTGCAACTTCCTTCTTGTGGTACAGAAAATTCATACAAAAAATACCTCTATGAGGGGAAGGATTAATTTCTGCTCTGCTGTACTACAGTCAAGACTGCAGCCTGATCAATCCTGAAGAAGTCAGTCTCAGGGCACAGGACTTCCCAGCTGATGCTGGCAGCAGTTTGGAAGCGTTGAACTTCAGAATTAGTGATGGGTGTCAGCACGCTTGCTTACATCAGCTTTCTGGACATGTGCAGAATGCATTTTTGTAGTTTGTGACCAAACTGTCCAACAGTAGAAAACCTTTTCTTCTCCACTGCTCTATTTTCTCTATTCAGTGTAAGTAAATGAGGGCAAGGGATTTTATCAGTCAAAATTTTTCACGTGGCAGTCATTCCTGAATTCAAGACAGGGACACTGCAGCTCCATCAGGATAAATAAAACAGGCTGTCAGTGCTTGCCTTGTGATTTACGTTGCATATCTTACAACTTAGAGGGACATAAATGCCCTTAAATGCAGCAACTGCAGACTCCAGTTTGAGTGAGACAGCGCACAGCTTTGCAAGAACATCATCAAGGCCAGCAGAAATAACACAGAGCTGCCTCAGTTTGGGCTGAAGGCCCAAAGCTTGTTGCCTCCAAGAATGCCACAAGACCAAAGTCAACAGCAAAGAACAGAAGGGTAAGTAGAGTTAGATACTTCCTTCACTCCTTTAGCGTGCCTTCACTTGTCATGAAAAAGGCATCACAAACCTTTAAGGGTCCTGATCTGCTTAATCCAGTGAAGTGTCACAACTGTATCAACATGCCTTTACAAAATCCATGCAGCAATTAAGCCTAGGCACTAATGATGATGTACAGCTATTTCCAAGTCAGATATCTGCATTACTAAGCTAGGCTTAAAGCCAGAAATAGGCAGGCTTGTCCCATTCAGTGTAGGATCACCAGTATGTGCAGCTGAGGGGGCTATGCTTAAAGGAGAAGAATGTAGGGCTACCAGAGCAGCCGAGGGAAACTGTTCTAAGGGAAGTAATTTGTGCAGCCTTCTGTGCTGTTCTATCCAACTCTTTTGTTGTAGGCAAATAGAGAAGGCAGGCAACAATCACTTGCGACCCACTGACTGCAACCCTCATGAATAGAGACCACAGAAATTTCATCTGGGGGTTTATTCTCTTTATGTACACAAACCATGGTACCAAATCAGTACATCTTTAGCCCAGCTTAGTAGCCAGTTCTTTAGCCTTTGCTTTTTCAAGCTTGGCAATGCGAGCCACAGATTTTGGACCCAGGACGTTGCCACCCCAGTGACGACGGATCTGCAAAGAAGGGAGAACAAGTCAGAGCCCTCGTACCATCAGCTGTGCTCCTCATGCACAAGGGTTGGAGCCCCCCCCCAGTTAGGAACTCCCACACGGTTTTTAAGCAGTGAATTACATTCTGGGAGCAGCACAGATGTGACAGTGTAAAGTTTTTCCCTGTCATCCCATTAATTTCAGGACTTCAGGGATGGAATCAAGTCTAGCTGAAGTAGATTTCTTTACACCCCTCTCCCTGTTTTAGCTCTATTTGCCTCTAAGCTGGTGACAGCGTTCACCTTGTATCCCACCAGCAGGAAAATAATCTGAATACCTAAAAAAACCCTAGATACAATCTACACCCAACAGGCTCTAAGCTGATCTCACTCCCAAACAGCAATCTGCATCTTACTGAGAAGTTACTGGGGATGTTCCCAGTATGAACCTGAAAGACAAGGGCCACACAACTTACCTCATCA